TCCCCCCCCCCCCCCCCCTCCCACACACACATACACCTTTGTTAATCTAATAAAAGCCGCAGGACAATTCTGGGTTGTTGGTTGTTGTTTTTTAATTAATTAAATACTCATATGAACATACACACAAACACGCGCACTTTTTCTTTCCTCATCCTTACTATCGTTGTTTTCCCCTCTAGATCTAGACCTAGAGATCTAGATCTAGATTCTAGATCTATATCTAGAATCTACTTCTTTTGTATGTTTGTCACTCTTTTGTGACCCGCTATTTCCGGGGTGCCTTGATAGTTGAAGCAGACTTTGTGCTGGTGAGGCAAGAGAGGTGAGCAGAGTAAGCCTGATTCCCCGTTTAGACTTCTCTGTTGACCCTAAGCGCTCATATGACCTTATGCAGTTGAGAGCGCCGTAAAACCTTACTTTAAAAAACGCACGCGTGCACGAGCGTGTGTGAGTGCGCGCACGTACACACTCCCACAGACACAAGCACAAACAGACAAACACGCACACAAAATCGTACACATAGGACTATACACACACACACACACGCACACACACACACAGTACAGTACAGTAGACGTTCACTGCAAATCTAAACTTAACAGAACAAGTAACAGCAACAGTGGCATTTCCAAAAGTAACAGTGTCACATAATTGTCATTGACACTGACAGTGACAACTGGTTCAGTTCATCGGCAATTAAAAGTACTATTCCTTCAACATGCAAAAGTGGACGAACAAGGAAAAGTAACAAACATCATAGTAGATACATCTCCCCCCCCCCCTCTCTCTCTCTCTCTCTCTCTCTCTCTCTCTCTCTCTCTCTCTCTCTCTCTCTCTCTCTCGCTCTCTCTCTATCTCTCTCACTCACTCACTCACTCTCTCTCTCTCTCTCTCTCTCTCTCTCTCTCTCTCTCTCTCTCTCTCTCTCTCTCTCTCTCTCCGTGTGTGTCTGTTCTATTATTATTTATGCCTTTGTGCCCCCTTCCTCTTTCCCCCAACTTTCTTAATTGTTGCTTCGGTCAGCAAGTTTCAGACAGTGTTTATGCATGGTTATGTTACGATAGAAATAAGTGTAATTATTATTCTAGGCTCAAAACAAATTCTACGGTCAAGCTAGGGCTTTGCAAATAAACGAATTTGTTAGCGGTTCCTTGAAAAGTTTGTAATAACAATGTCATTATACCAGTTCTGTGTATTGAGAAGAGGAACATCTCAAGCTGGGCGCGAGTGTTTGCTGAGTGGTGCCGTGTTGTCAGCTCCCTTTGCTTCTTGTTAGATCAAGTTGTAATCTGTTCCAGGCCATACTATGAGCCCCTTATCACGTCGACTATATCAAGTACAACCCAATAAACTCCTGCCGGGTATCCGTGGCGGATCTTCAAAATGTCTGCCGTGTTATCCTTTTTAACCCAATAGCAGACTCCAAATTCTGTCCTAAACTGTCTGCTCCTCATAGAGTGGGGCACGCTGTGTAAACGGTACAATGACTTTAATTTGACCCCAGAAAATGGTTACTTGAAAGTGCCAACCCGTATTGTTGGTTATGCCGAATCCTAGTGTGCTGGGTTGTGTGATAGGTGTTCAGTTTTCATGATTCTGAATTCAAACGCTGTTCATTGAAACAGGTAACGCTCTCTGTGTGTCTTAGAGGGTATAAAAAAAAATACTGTCAAGAGTCGAGGTTGTAAACAAGGGGCATGTCGTACATTCTGTCCGTATTCCCAGTTCTGTGGTCCCGTCCATCGTTCGAACAACGCGTCTCCCCCCCCCCCCCCCCCAATGGCCTTAAAGCGGGGTCTGGGGCTGTTCCGGGCAAGGGCTTGGGTAGTTTTTCGGGGGCATGGCGAACTGGGCAGTATCTCTCCCCTCCAAGGGCAAACAAGGACACAGAACTGAGGTTTGGCGGGGGCGAGGTTTGGTTGCATTGGCATTCTCAGACGAGACTGGCCTGGTCGCCATTAGTGTTTCAAGATTCTGTCGAATCTTTATTTAGCGTGTACGTGCCGTGTTGGCACGAGGCTTGTGCGTCTCTTATCAGAGTGTGTGCCAGCCAGTCTGTAATTGTTAGTGTGGTTTTGAGATTTTTGTTTATGTTCATGTGTGTGTGGGTATGTGGTGTGTGTGTGTGTGTGTGTGTGTGTGTGTGTGTGTGTGTGTGTGTGTGTGTGTGTGTGTGTGTGTGTGTTTCTCTGTGTATAGTGCTTGTACGCAGTGCCACGCAGGCTGATGGCTTACGGAGGGTCTGTCCTATCTACTTCTATTGCTGACAGTATCAACTCCTGAAGAACAGTTGCCATCGACATAACTCAGCTCAATATCAAGATATTATATATTATTATTTTAT